AGGAGATTCATGTGAAGGTTTAGGGAAGAATCAGGGTTTTGGAGGGAACCAGCCTCCCTTGTCCTTCATTTTGTTTTCACAGAACTTTTCAATGCCATTTCCATCTCAAACACCTTCCCAGGGTGCTGGTGGAACCTCTAATGGACAGGAAATCATTGCCAGCAGTCTGCTTGCAGCTGTCACTCAAGTTTGCACAGAGCAATTTACCAGAAACTGGGGCAATATGAAGAAATTAAATCTGTCATGCAGTGTTACAGCATGAAAGTCTCACCCTCCATGTGGGCAGTCACACAGAGCAAAACCAAAACTATGTGGACTCACCTGCTGTGTTCCTGACATTCCATATGAAGCTACGTGAAACACACAGTCAGCCCCTTCACAGACTGCCAGTATGGCACTGTAATCCCTGATATCTGTCTGTAATACACAAGAAAAGGTATTTGGACATGAGATGAAAGCTGCAGGTGAGCATTTGTCATATAGTGGGTTAGCACAGAGGGAATCCATATATAGAATGCATGTATAGGACCGCATCCTTTACAAGTACAAGTATCCTGGGACTCAAAACTGGGCACACCTCCCTACTTGCTGATAATTATACTTTTCTTCCATAGAACCCAAAGAACTTTGAAGACATTCATTAAGGTTCACAATAGTCCTGTGTTTATTCTACAGGTGGTTAAACTAAGGCCTAGATGAAGGCAGGATCCTGAGGAGTCAGGAGTGAAACTGCTCCGTGCATTACAGGTTTTGCTGGTTTTCCTTATTTCAGATATACTAAAATCCATTCACCAAAACTCATGTGGGATGTTCACACAGTTAAAAAGGTTACTGAAATTTGAAACAGTTGGCAATAGGTATTTGGATTCTGTGAAAACTAGGAAGACATTACTGAAAAGGCAAATGAACTAACTTTGACTGTTGGGAAGATATTATTTATCATACCTCGATCCACACCACTCCACTGGGAATCACCCACAAAGGCTTGTGTATGTCACACAGAACAACAGAAGCTCCTATGCTGGCAAGAGCACATCCCAGCTTGTATCCACAATAGCCAGCACCTCCTGTCACCACGGCTCTCATACTGATTTTATTGAGTGTTCCAGCATGTTTGCTCCGTTTGCAGTCAGAGGTTCGGTGATAGGGTGTTACTCCACTCATTTTCGGTTTTGTGTCCATGAAATACTGTCCGGCACCACCAGATACATGTGAAAATTCCTTCTACACGGAGAAAATTGCTCCATAACACTCCTGGATGCAGACAATTTCAGGGAGTTTCATATTGACAAGATCTAGTCACAGCAGCAAAATCTGGCTTTAATGCAGCCTGCCTAAGAGAGATAAAGACAAAAGGAACCCAAAATTTACAGTGCCCAGTTTACTGCCAAGACTGAGAGAAGTGGTGTTTCCAGCTTCTTTCTAAGTACCAGCAGCTAAACATAAATTAAGAATACACTGAGTTGTTATCATTGGCAGTGCTGGAGTTGAGATAGATGAGGATGTCAGGAGGAAGAGGGATGCCTGATCCTTATAACTTAAGAAGGTGTATCAGAGAACAAGGCTATCAAATCCCTTGCTTTCGAGGGGAACTCGAATAAAATAGCTGCTATACTATAGAAAGGGTTAATAACTGCATTAAGAAAAAAGCAATAGTGAATGACTTATTTGCTGAACATGGGGGTTCTTGCCCTTCTAGGGCTTCTCACCGGCAGTCAGGACATTTCAGAGGCCGTGGCTACCGACTCCCTCCGACACCCAGTCCCTGCCCCGGCCGCAATTAAACATTCAAAGCCACCCGAGCCCCGCCGGGGCTCTCTGCATCTCACTTGCAAATGGGCCGGGCGGCAGCGCAGGGCCTCGTGCTCGGGCCGGGCCCCCGCCCGTCCCCGGCCTCGGGCGGTCCCGCG